TTCAAGGTAAAAAAAAAAAAAAAGTCGAGCCAATGTCGGAAAAGGAAATTGATTATATAAGACGCTAACCGGTGGATTCTCGATCGCTTTCTTCGAGAAATCTTGTCCGATTTTCCCTATTGCGTATGGGCACGCAACACACACAGGAGAAATCTAACGAATTTCAGCGAATCGTCCGCTCGTGGATAATTTATATAGAAATAATCCGTAGAATTTCGTCATTTCGGTTCCGATTTCTCGTGTATTTTTCCATTTAATTTGAAGGTATGTAACTGTAACTGGTTTTTAAAAAGTCTTGTGAAACGACACAGACGGGGTTCGAATATATATTACGAAATTTTTTTTTCATTTAAATTCCTATAATCGAAGATACTGCTCAAATCTCAAATCTGTTACATTTCTCTTGGGCAAAAATTTCTTAACTCTTCCAAGGCGGGCATAACACGACACCTTTGCTTATCGCGAGTAAGCCCCTTCGCATCGTCATCATCATCGAAATGTTAAGATCGATGGTGATATTCGTGGCGCATCGATCGCGAAAGCATTGGACGCGGATAAGATCGGACACGTTCGGTGATGTAATCGGGTTCCAGGTCTTTCGAGCTCGGTTTCCGCATCTTCGCGTTACGCAAGTGGGTGAACCAGTTTCTGGACAGACCACCTTTGTGTAATTATGGCCGAGCAGCTGTCTCTCCGTAAGAACAATAACGTCTCCTATTGCGATTCTCGTGAAAGCTGACGTCCTACGCGTGTCTCTCCCGTTTTAAAGAAAGTTTCTTGAAAATCGAAAGATCTGCGCCTCCGTGAAATTTTACAAGTTATTGGATAATTCCCGTGCGCGGTGTGAAAAATCGCTTGAAAAAAAAAAAAAAAAAAGAATCTTCCTCCTTTTATGATCTTATAATAAATTATCGAACGATCCGTGCGACTCTTATCCCTGAGCGCGTCGCTGAAAATATTTCCCCTCGTCGATTTTAAATTATGCAACTTGTTGGATAATTCACGTTTTACATCGTTGCCAATGATAAATCTATTACGCTCGTAGAACGATTGTTTAATCGATGTTGAAGGATATATAAAGGATATATAATAATTCTTACGTGGGAACGTCGGTATGTGGAAAAATTCTTGTTAAATTAAATCTTGGTCGTTGTGAATGTTATTCCATGCGAAGCGAAAAGATTGGAGAGAAAGGTTATATAAATTTACGAGCTAATTTGTCGTGATTTTTGAATTTGTACAAATCGTCAATAAAGAGGTTCGTTAAATGAAGTCGTTCTCCGTGGAATTACAATTTTCATGGGTCGGATAAGTGATTATACATTATAGAGCGGCTTCTTAATTACACAATTCTGCAAAGCAATTTCGGTTCCCCGCAGTCAAACGACTTTTATTCGACGATCCTCTCGAGAGCCGCGAAAGTCGGGAATAATGGGTTCTG